TTGGAAAGAAACTTAAGGTCCTGCCATGGAGTAAGCCAAATTTGGGGAAGAACGCAATGGTATATTAATAAAAAATAAAATATATGGCTAAAAAAGTAGTCATGTCAGTAAAAATATAATTTTTTAAAGTTTTTTCCGTTTAGTTGGAAATCTATTAAAAATAGGGGCTAATACGGCTACTTCACTAACAGTAAGGGTTTAAATGGCCTGATAGTATAATGGGGGCTAATATAAGTATTATTTTCAAAGTAAAGGGGTAAATCAGGCCCTTTTCCCATGTTATGATTGTTAAATTTCATTGACAACCCTATTTAACTTACAATCACTTTTGGAGGTGCATTTTAGTGGTTTCTGTTATTTTTGGTCTTATTTCTATAAGTGCATTTTCTACTGCTTTAGACAAGAGGGGTTGTTTTGATGGTAAACAACCTCCACTTCCAATCAAGAGGTTGTGAGTTCGAGTCACCCCAAGAGCAAGGTGGGGAGTTCTTGGAGGTAAGGATGTCGAGGGCCTATTTGGAAACAGCCTCTCTACCCCAGGGTAGGGGTAAGGTCTGCGTACACACTACCCTCCCCAGACTCCACTAGTGAAATTATACTGGGTTGTTGTTGTAATTTCTACTGCTTTAACATACTTTTGGTGTCTAGTAGTATATTTTTGGTGTTGTGATTTTTGTGATTGACGGGGTTTCATGGTGAATCAATTTAAATCTTTTTTTTCATAATTTTCATAAAAATTTAACAGACATAGTTTGATAAATATTTGACAGAGACTAAAGGTACTCACTTTTGACGATTCAAAAGATCCAAACCGCTCAAGAGTATATTTAAGTGACCTTTTTGAACCTATCCCCAAAATAAGGGATTTTTATTATTATTTTTCGCCGGTAGCTATTCATGTGACTTCATTAAAGTAATTTAATCCGAATCCAATATTATATGAAATAAAAATTAAAAATATAAAATAAAGAAGTTTTCTATATTTTCTACTATCTCATATTTTATTACATAACTAAGAAGTTGTTTAAAAGAATCATTTAAACATACTAATAGCTAAAACTTAATTCCAAATACTGTTATCTCCTAGTAGTAATTTAGAAGTATTACGATAGAGTTTTACTTCTGGAAAGAAAGAAGAGTATTATAATAAGTATGCATAAAGCTACTTTGCAATTGAGGAGCGCAATTGTCGTTTTGAAAAACAATTTCTTTTCGGTTATAGTCTTTTGATAAAGTCGTCCCAAATTTATGCAAAAAAGTTCCCTCTTTATTTCCCCAATGCAAATTCAATTCCTCAATTCATATTGTTTTTTTTCCCACAACAACGACTATGTAACGAAGGAAGAAAGATTACCTAACCATTAAATTATTGATTTTGTTGAAGGTGGATAAGGTTTTGCTATCACTTATACGCCAGCAATTTTATTTATTTGTTTTAGTGAAAGGAATTTGTGCAATGTTTGGGCGGAGGCTCGCTAGAAAATTAGAGGTTTTGGTTAGAGTCCTGTATAGAATCGTTTCTTACAGGGAATACTTACATACCGAAAATTTTGGGCACGAATATAAGTTAGTCGAGTTTCAAAGTGACAAAAACCTCCAATGAAAATTAAATTTTGCAGCTAGAAGACTCAAATTAAGAAGTTTGTTAATGAGTTGCAACTCAAATATCTATTTTTTAATTTCCATTTTTCTTCAAGGTAAAAAATGTATTTCTTTTTTCTTATTAGTACTATTGGATGAGTTAAGAGATCCAAATCCATATATACAAGTGATAGACAAAGTTGGGCAATTTCCCCTTAGACGTATATACAATTGAGAGGAGCGTTGAGACATTAGAATTTGTCAAGAAAAGGCATTTAATATACCCCTTGAATAGTTGAATGCAATATCGTAATTTATTGACGGACAAAAAGGATTCCCACATCTCCCTCAATTTTCTCAGATCTTGACCTCTAACATGCAAGAAACTGTCAAGTGTCAAATCATCACCAGAAATTCTTTTATTGACGTGGTGGTCTTTTTTCAGCAGAAAAATGAACAGACAAAAACTAGATTCATATAGTAACATTATTTTAAATCCATTCAATTTGAGTTAGTATTTTTTCCGTCACACTTATTTTAAATAGACATCTAAAATCATTAATCTTGGACAATTTATTTGTGAAAATGTATGTATAACCAAAAATTGACTGCCCCTAAAATTAAGTCAAGTTATACTTGTTCAAATTGACTTGATTATCACACGATCAACTTTGCCTTATTATGTATTCAAATTCATGTTGGGAACTACTTTTAGCAGAATTTTTATATTGTATTCGATTCGAAACATCTAATTAAGGGCAGAAGGATCTCAGTCATCCTACCACAACTAAGTGTTTTTGATGTGGCCCATAATTTACTTTTCATTTGGATTACTTCATGAAAAAGGGTTTTGCAGAAATTTTTTGTGGAAAAAGGAAAATTGTTTAGATGCTTGCAGGTTAAGTTTAAAGAATTGTGTGTTTTGATTAGTGGAAGAGAACGTCAATTTTTAATGAAAAACTGCATCATTTACAACTCTTCATTAATTAAAAAAAATTGAAATTGAAAAGTTCTTTGAAAAATAAATAAATAAATAAATAAGCTGTTACTAAAAAATCAGAATGTTCAAACTAACGACCGATAAAGACCAGAAAAAATGGCCTCTTGATTTTTAATGCCGGGGAGATGCTGCTGCATGTTTCTTCTTACTTTAGTGTTTGATTATTATATTACTTTTATTCTTATATAATTAATGTTATTGAAAAAATATGATAATATATTAGGTTGTAAAACGGATTTTATTTTGTTATCTCGCCAACTTGTGCATAGTAATTTCCTTATTAGTTAGATAATAGAAGCAATAACCAACAAGATTTTTGGTGAAACGGATAAGATCTCTATTCTTAATTAAATATTTCGGGTTTAAGGTCTGAGAATATAAACTAATATAGTAAAAAATATTTTTCTCTCTAATTAATTCATGTGATGAAAAATTCGAATTATTCGGAATTCAAAAATAAATATGAAACACCAAATGAGAAACCAAAGCAATAACTGATCTACACTCAAGTATACATAGAGCTAAAATAAACAAATGTATGTGTGTATATAAATATATCAAATTACGAATGTTCATATCCTATTTTTTTCCTCTTTATTTTATTTTCCAAGGGTACATAGTAAAAGACAAATTATTTGTATAAGCTACTCAATGCTGGCAGCTCCGTTGAGCTGTTCTTTTCTGTTTTTTTCTATTATATTTCTCTTTTCCAAATCCATGAGATTATATTTCGTTTTTTTAAAACTACTTTGAAAAAGTAGTACTTTTTATTCAATTTATGATTAATTAAGTACTGTTGAAAGTGATAGGCGAAATAATAAAAAGAACCTTAATCGCTTCTAGTTCCTAAGAATATTATACTTAAGCAATTTACTTAAGTATTTCCGGGTACACCATTTTGATCTTTTCTAATCTTGAATCGCGGCTAATTATATGAAGAATTGAATTATGTCTTCTTTCTCTAAAACATTTTTGATTTATTTCTCATCTGCAATATTGTATTATTGTTCCTTTTTTGTATTATATTATCAGTGTGCCGTGGTGCTATTGTACCTTATCCTTAGTTTATTAAAATTTTGAATTAAAAAAATCATCCTTCAGAATATTAATTATTTTTTCTTCCTTAGACGCGCAATGTTAGAAACTTACTAGCCAAATCAATAACATGTATAACTACTAAGCTAGCGTTCAGACATAGATTTAGTTAAAACTTTAAAAAAGAATTTTGAAATTGTATTGAAAATAATTTTTAGAATTTAAAATTGTGTTTGGGCATGCATTTTACTTGAAAAAAGGTTGAAGTTTACGAGTGGAAGAAAAGATGTTCACCCAAAAATTGCTCCAAACTGCTTTTTGGAACCTGAAATTTTTTCTTCATTTTTTTTTAAAAAAACAGATCAAAATTTCATGAACAAATAGTATTTTAAAATATTTTTTTGTCAAAAAGGTAAAAAAAAAAATCTATATCCAAATGGGAGCTTGAAAAGTAAAGTAAAATATATAGTTAAAGATAAAAGGATCCCAAAGAAAGAATTTATCTACATTGATGCTTATTATGTCAACTCAATTATTACATAACATGTGCTTCTTATAAATTGTTATCACTAAATTATAGTTACTAATATATATTTTTATTTCAATTTACAACTAATTTTTATAAATTTATGTAACTTTATAAATAATAAACTAAAATAAAATTTCTATCGAATCCAAACCATGTCACCACATTTTTTCCTTTTGAAAATTTGACATTCATACTGCCAAAAATTATGAATTAAAGAAGCCATTCTCAAGAAACTCTAATAACCTATTTGGCCAAACATTGAAAATCAGCTTATTTTGAGAAATGGTTGTCTCAAAAGTATTTTTGGTAGAATCAGTTTGTGTTTAACTAACTAATTTAAAAAGCATTTCCAACCAGCAATTATTATTTGACCAAAATTTTAAAAAGTATTTCTAAGTGTATTTCTCTCAAAAGTATTTTTCTAAAAAGTACTTTTATGAAAAAGTTATTTTTTTTGTTTCTCCAAAACTACTTCTGTTTTTCCTCAAATTTTTTTCTTCCAAAACCTTGGCCCAATATTTCAACTTTTAAAAAAAAATAAAAAAAAGTGCTTCTCCGTTTTGGAGAAGCCTCGCCAAACTATAAATTTTATCGACCGAAATGGTAAATATTTAGACAATAAAGGGTATTTATGGAACTTTAAAAAGCTCATTATACTCAATTCTCATATCGACGTAATTTACAATAAGAAACCATATCGTGGGACCCACATCAAACCTCCATTGAGACAATGACACGTAAGAAGCTGCATAAAAACAACAACAACGACGTCGTTTAGTGACCAGCTGTTTTAGCTTAGACGTAGCTTAATAGCCGACCTTTCTGCCTACATAGAGACGCAAAGAACATCCAAAGTAACGTAAGCGCCAAACCCATACCCTTTTTCTCTTTCCTTTTTTCCCCATAATCTAACGGCTGAAATCTAGCCTCAGCCACCACATTCTTTATCAGCCGTTTGATTTACTTGTATATTAGTTAAATGCTTTTGTAGTTGAATTCTAAGTTGCTGTTTGTTTAGGTTAGGCCTTCCTTCTTCCTTTTCCAACCCCACTTCCTCAATTCTCTCTCCCCCCCCTAATTCTTCTCTGGATTCTTCACCATCATTACAAGAATCCAAGAATCCCTTTGTCCAACTTATTCACATTACATTGTTTCTTGATTCTTTCGCCGTGTGAATAAGGTCTTAGTCTGGAGTATTTTGAGCGGGTCACAATAAGTCGCTAGTCGGAAGTTTAGACGGATTACAAGTCTTTCTCATGACAATGCTGGTTCCTCCATGGCTAGAACCTTTATTAAACACTGCTTTTTTCTCTATCTGCCGGACGCACGGTGACGCTGCGCGAAGTGAATGTAATATGTACTGCTTAGACTGCAATGACAATGCGTTTTGCTTCTATTGTCGCTCCTCCAAACACAAAGACCATCAAGTCATTCAGGTAATTTTGTTTGATTCCCTTTGCAACATTCTTTTTTTCCCCTCCAATCATTCGAGGTCTAAAACACCATCCTGATTAATCTGAATTCGCGCAATATAAAGTCCATTATATAGTAGTAGCATTAGTAGTAAATTTTTGGTATCTTAAATGTTGACATTATGAATATCATTATGATCATGTCTTGATTCTTGTAATGTATCTTTTCTTACATGGTAAGTATCCTTTTTGTTTCAATTTTTTAGAAAAAAAGTTAGGTATGTGGTTTGGACATTATTTTTCCACAAAATGCGGTTGAAATTAATTAGTAATGTGTATTTTTTTCCCCTTTTCTTGAAATAGATAAGGAGATCTTCATATCATGATGTGGTAAGGGTTTCAGAGATTCAGAAGGTATTGGATATAAGTGGAGTGCAGACATATGTAATTAACAGTGCGAGGGTTTTGTTCCTAAATGAAAGGCCACAACCAAAGAGTACTGGCAAAGCAAGTTCTCACGTTTGTGAAATATGTGGGAGAAGCCTTTTGGACACTTTCCGTTTCTGTTCTCTCGGATGTAAGGTAAATTATTTACTTATTTTCTCCCCATTTATATTAATCTTGTTTTCCTACATTTTTCTTATTCAGTATTACTTCATTATGTTAGTCGAAGGGGAAGGGGAGCTTTGGAGCAACGGTAAAGTTGTCTCCATGTGACCTGTAGGTTACGGTTTGAGCCGTGAAAGCAGCCACTAATGCTTGCATTAGGGTATGTTATTTACATCACATCCTTTAGGGTGCGGTCCTTCCCAGATATCTTATGCACCAGACTACCTTGTTAGCTAGCTATCTTAGCCATGGCATAGCATCGTTCATACATCATGATTCATGACCATGTCCCACTCTTCTTCATATTTCACATCTTGATCACCATCATTGATTGTAACTCCCTACCAAAGAATCATCTCCTATCATATCATATGCTAACAACTCAAAAATCGTGGATTGGCATTTTATTATACACATGTACATAGAGATAGGGTGGAGCTATTTTTTATTAAATGAGGTTGAATTGAATCCGTCTGGCCGAGAAACATTGTATAAATAATTTATTCGTACATATATAAATTGTTGAATCTTCTTTACATAAGAAAAATTTATAATATAGTAATAAAATTTATTTAATAATTATTTCAGGTCACGGGTTCAAATCTTGCATCTTCGAATCCCCTAATTAAATTTGTGACTCCCCATAGTAGCCACATTGGGATCTAAGAAGGTATAAATGTATATAGATATATAATACCCATGCCATCTTTTTCATGAATATAAGCGGCCTAACTTTTGATGCTATTATTGCAATTTCTTTTTTGGGCACACAAGGTATACACTATATGTTGATTCCCATTTAATTAAGTTATGAATTATGTTTTGAAAGATGAGTTACATTTTTGGACTATATCAAATTTTTTTAATGACTTAGCTTGTAGGAATAAAGAGGAATGGAAATGCAAGCTTTATCTTAGATTCCAAGAATGAAGTAGCATTGCAAAGAGGTGAAGGGATATCATCAAGAGAAGGAAGAGTGATTCCATCATCAAAAAAGGAAGAATTATTTGGAGATCAATTGCGTGAAGGCTCACAACATGACATATACCCAACCACCCCACCTCCGCCACCTTCAAATTCTAGAAGAAGAAAAGGCATTCCCCATAGAGCTCCGCTCGGCTCTTAACAGATACGGATACAACAATAATAACTATATCTCAATCTCAAAAATATTTATTTTAATATCCTTTAAAAAACTATTTTATACAAGTCATTATTGTAGGTCACATAGGGGGGGGGGGGTTGTAAAGTTTGATGAAGTTTCCTTTTGAGGATGTTGTGGGGTCTTGAATCAATCAAAAAGTACAAAATTCTCATGAGGGAGAGAGCAATAATGCACAATTTGTTTATTTAGGAAGTTGGAAGATGTACATTGTAATTAATTAAGAAATTAAAAGGCAAAGTGTTTGTTGGAATTCGTTTTATATATAGTTTTCATTGGCCTACCAACCCATATGGGCCGTTTACATAAAGGAACAACCTTTTCCTTTGTTTAATACATGCAAATGGTGGCAAATCAACTTTCTATCATTTTACTTAGTTTGGTGTTTGGATATTCTGCTCAATGAATTTTTTGGTTTTTTCTTTTCTTTTCTTTTGGTCATTTGCCTTTTGGTTGTTACCTTTGAAAGCTATATTTTGAGCTTAGAGCTTTTTCTAATATTTAAGCAGTTGGATTGTCATTTAGACAAACAACTACAAAAGGGTGATGGATTTTACAATGTGATGTGATGATCCCATCCAATAATGTATAAACAGTTGGTTTGGTTGGTATTGAATTTACTAATTTCTTTCCTTTTTTTTTTTTGGTAATAATAATGATTTGAAGTTGACACTTACACAATATATAGAAAAGATTCAAATTGATTGTCAGGTAAGGTAGAGAAGCATCTTGCATCTTTTGCTAGTTAACCCCCCCAAAAAAATAGTTCATTTCACAAAATATTCGGCGTATACGTAGGGTCCGGAGAAGGGACGCACCCTAAGTGGTGTGATATAGACAACTTACTCTAATATAAGTATTAGTGACTGCATTCACGGCTCAAATATGTGACCTATAAATCACACAGAGACAATTTTACTGTTGCCGAAAGCCCCTTCGTCTTGCTAGTTAACAAAAAGAAGAAAAAAGAAGTTTTAAGGATTCTACTACATAACGTAAATGTCCGTCGGAATTCATTTTAATAGAAATACACATGAGATAAGTACAATTGTAGGAAACACTTCCTTTTAATTCAAGGTAGTTGTACGTACTTTGTGCTTCTTATTTCTGTATTTTTTTGACTTGGAAATATGGAGGTTCAGTTGGGATTGAGCCATTGGGGTTAGGGAGAAGCTAATATTTCTTTGGAGCAAAGGTGAATTCAGAATTTAATTTTTCTGAGTTCACAATGTCACTGAATTATTGATTATTTGAGTTATTGGGTTCAAATATAAAATAGATTTCATAACACATATGCAGCGAAAGAGCAAAAGTAGGGAGCTGTCACTGGTATATAGGCCCATTTCAACATCAAATATCATTTTAATAATTCAATTTCTGAAATTTAGTATTTGCAGATATTGGTTTGAATACCGGTATGTGCAAATATTTAACTTCAATGTTTAAAATACTGACGAAATATTAAAATAATGGGTTGAACAGTATTTCAAGTGAAATAATAATTTTCACTTGCGAGTTTCATAAAATTTACTTTCAAGTAAAGTTCATCTTTAGACACAATTTTGTTTCTTAAATATTTTCTTCGACTTTAACCTCAAATACTCTTTTGTTTTTCTCAATTTCAACCAAATATTGTCCAAGCGCCTTATACGTATATCTTAATAAGCCCTCTTCATCTTACGTGAAGGAACCCTGCCAGAAAAAATTATGGAGAAAATAGACAACTAATACGAGGGATGGCAGCCTCCGTTAGAAATATATCTCGTTTTGATGATCTACTTATTAATTAATTCATAAAATTAGATCATAAGCTGATAAATTTGTCGTTTAGAAAGATGATGTTTAGAGATTTAAAGTTAGCATAAGTCTAAGAAGACATCAGAGCGAAACCTGTAAGAAAACTTGTAAAAGAAATTGTAAAAGAAAAATAAAAAGCTTAAAGGAATTGAAATCTGAATGCAGAACACTTGATTAATGGCCAAAATCATATGTGGCCCCACTTGTTTGAATTTTCCTCTTAGAGCCCGTTTGGCCAAGCCGCCAAAAACTGTTTATTTTGAAAAATATTTTTTTTAAAATACTTTTTTTTTTTTAAAAAAAGTTTGTATTTGGCCGGAGTGAAAAAATTGAATGCCTCATTTGAATTTCCAAAACTAGAGTTATGCTTGAAATATGGGAGATGATACCGTTCACCCTTATATGATCCTAAATAACCCATGGTTGTTGGCTAGCCTAAATCAACTATGTGAGCACGTAATACAAACAACAACAACAACAACCCAGTATAATCCCACTTAGTGGGGTCTGGGGAGGGTAGTGTGTACGTAGACCTTACCCCTACCCTAGGGTAGAGAGACTATTTCCAAATAGACTCCCGACATCCTTCCCTCCAAGAACTTCCCACCTTGCTCTTGGGGAGACTCGAACTCACAACCTCTCGGTTGGAAATATTCCAACATAACTTTTAATTATTTTATAAATTTTTAGGAATATCTATATTTTATTTGATTTGTTTTGTGCATTTTTAGCAGCATTTTAAATCATAAAATGACAAAAAAAATTTATAGCTTACTCTTTGCATTGTTAGATCTTAATTACATGTTAATTGCGTTTATAAAATACTAAAACAAAAAATACATTAGCCGTTTTGTATGTTAACTGTTTTTAGGGATGGCAATTGGGGCAGGGCAGGGCAACCTTTGACCCACTAAGATTTTGACCCGCCCTGCCCTGCCCCGTTTAGATTCATTTTCATTTTTTTCATTTTCCAGTAAATACTTTGTCTTACCCGTATATTTATATAAATACCATATTTTACATCAACTATGCCAAAGAAAAACAAAGAACATCATCTTTGTTTTAAACCATCATCTTCGAAGATTAACGTGCTATTTGGTTTTTAACCATCATCTTCGAAGATTAACTATGAGAAGATACATAATTTTTAACATGTATTGAAATATTGTAATTATATTTGTTTCAATATTTCAATATTTCAATTATATTGTAATTATATTTGTTTCTTAATTGTCAATATTTGTCTTTATAAATATTGACAATTAAGAAGGGACTTCGACATTCTTTTTAAAATTTTATCACGAATTATAAATTGCGAACAATTAAAGTTGGCATTAGTAAATGTCACGGTTGAAAATCATACAACACATGGCTTCTCTCACTCTCAAAATAACGCATAGTATGTATATTTTGGATTGTCTATTTATTTAATTGTAGCTTTCATGTTACATTCATTAATACGTAGAAAATTCTACCATCCTTTAAAGGTATTATTCCAAATTTGTGTCTGTGACATCCTCTAGCTACTTCAACATCAATTTATGAAAAAGAAGACATGAACAATAAAGTAAGCAAGGGGCTGACCTACAACCTGCCCT